TATGTTGAACTCGTGCGTCGAATCCCTTGAAGAACCACTTGAAGACGATTCATTGTTGCTGTTGCCGGACGGAGAAGAAGCCGCACACACATCTTGCCCTTGAGCTTTAAGACCCCCCGAAGGAACGAGCCGGGCAGCATAGTCCTCATAAGAATATAAGAGAGGACTGTCGACTTCCGCATCTGCCTCAGAATGAAGAGAGGTTGCTCACGAAGCAACCGGTTTCGAAGGCGTCGAGAGTGCAACCGCATCACTCTCGGCGGTGCTCACTTTCCCGAAGGGAATTTGCCTTCGACTTGTGTGGGGCACGTTGCGGTGTCGTACACCGCACTGTTGCACCACAAGCAGCATCAGTACTTAGTACGGACGCGATACACGGCTTCCGAGATACCATAATGTGTCCAAGGCTCTTGAGCCGCTGGTCCGGCCCCGGGGGATGAATTGGTGTGTCTTTGGTTTGCCGCGTCCTCGCCCTTTGGCGGGGTGGCCACCATCCCGAGCGGCCGCCAATCTGTCTCCTTCATCAAAAAACGCAGCCTCGTTTGAAGGATCGGTCGCTGTAGTTGCTGCGACCACGGCCACATTCGGCCGATGCTGATCTTTGCCCTGGCTCGCAGCAGACGAACGGCCCAAATTCTTGGCTTCGATGTTCGTCACAATGATCTGTGAGGCTTATCAAAAAGCTGCTCACTTGTGGTGAGTGTCTTCGCAACTTGCGTCAAGGTGTTCCGCAACGTCGAACAACTCCTCCTGATGAAGAAGTGTTTGATGGCGACGAAGGTCGACGACAAGTCTATGCTTGGCAGCCATTGAAGTTTCTCGGTTGTCTGAAGCTCGGGCGGCTCCACTGGGAACCACTTATGCCATGCTGCCTTGAGATCAGCCCAGCTGATCTTCGTATGCAGCTCGGAGACTGCGACGTTGTGCGTGGATAACATGTTGTCCAGCCATGCATGGCATGCGCCCCCTGAGCAAGAGTATAAGTATGCGTGCCGGTTCAGGTTGATAACGTGGTGAATGTCCAACTTCAACTCGAACTGGCGCGACCATGGGATCGGGTCTGTCTTCGTTGCATCGCCGAAGATCGGCAGGCCGTCAAACTTTGGGAATGCTCTCGCGAGTAGTCGCGGTCGGACTGGCTGCGGCGACACAAATCTTCTGGTCAATCCGCTGATTTGTCGCTAGAATGTCGTCCTTGAGAGTCTCAACGTCGATTTCTAAGACATTGACGCGGTCCGTCAAGTTGGAGAGTCCGGCGGGGGTTGGCTGTTGTTAGCTGCTGTTCCAGCCGGCGTACCTGGTCAAGCAGTTCGTCGATAAGTCGAGCCTGCTTCCGGACCAAGGTGTCCACGCAGAGGATGTCCTCTTGCTGTGCTTCACAGGCCGCGACCAAGTCGCTCACATGTTCGATTGTGGTTGCAAGGCCACGCACAGCAGGGGGGCCACCCTCCTCTTCAGCAGCCATTGCCCATTCGTCGGCGATCACCTCGATGTCCCCCTTGCATTCGAGGATTTTGTCTCGCCGTTCGTCTGCGGCCTTCCTTGCTGCCTCAGCGTCCTCTTGTTGTTGTTGTTCAGCGAGGCGACGCTGTTCCTCTGCTTCCTCATCTTCCTCCTTATGTGCAGATCTTGTCGCAGCTGCCCGTTGCTTGAACTCTGCTAGCATGTCTAGCATGCGGGTCTCATAGGCCTCGGTAGTCTCACCTGGCTGCTGATTCATGCGGCTTGTCTTTGAGCGGGTGAGCACCATGCACTAACGTGACCTGCTGTTGCGGTGACTGGTTGCTGACGTGGCACTGCTGTCGTGTCCTGTTGACGTGGCCTGCTGAAGCGGCAACTCACCAATGCCGCCGCAGGGGGTACCCGGAGGCAGATAGAGAAAACCAGAGGGGGCAACAACATAGGTGGGGACGGGTGGGATAAATCGCCCACACTAATCAAAAAAATAAAATTTTGAACTTCGCAAAAAAATTCGAGAAAAAGAAAAAAACACTCGTTTGCAAGTTCAATAGGCCTCCCAATTTCCCTGAAGTGCGAAATTACCAATGAGAAAAATTTTCGAACTTTCAGACCGCAAATGATTTTCTGATAAAAGAATTATGAAAACAAAGCACAAAAAAACGTTTCGGAGTTACTCGGATGAGAGTACGTGCAGTTTGGAGAATGATAACTGCAAGAGGGATTCACGTACCGTTTAAAAAAAAAACGGATTTTGAAAAAAAAAATTCTGGATTTCCAAAGCTAAATACGATGCGGACCCTGTTTTTGCCGATGTGGTTATTAAAGAATGTTTAAACACAAGTATAGTTTATTTGTGTTCAAGTGTGTCTGGAGCATCAAAATGGTGTGATGGAATGATAAATAGTTGTCGTATTTTTTTGATAGTCTTTTGAAAATCTATCATATTTTGTTGAAAAACATCTTGTAACGGGAAATTGCAAAAGGAAATCGACATTTTCAAAAAAAAGTTATTCCGGATTTTCAACAACGAAATTTCAAATTTTCAGAAGAAAAACGAAATCGAAAATTTCAGATGCTGCACTATTGCGATTCTCCACAACAGAAATAGCGAGAAAACAAACTCCAAGAAAAGGGGGGGGGGGGAATTTACAAAATCGATTTCGGCAGTGAGGTCAAAATCATGATTTTGGGGGCTAACTAATGTGCTCTAATCAATCAATCAAGACTAATCGGCTACTCAGTCCTTGCACACGTGTCAGATCAGGTTGTCCTGATTCACATGCGGTGTTCAGATACCAACTGTTACATGCCCAGTTGGGCGATGTACATATATAACCAAGGATCCGCAATGTGATAAAAAGGACTGAATGGACAATGCAGTGCAAGTAGAATCTCAACAAGCAGAGTGCATTCCGATACGTACAAGAATGGTGCGTTATAGCGCAGTGGAAGACTTAGATACAAGTTCTGACCTGACCGGGACTGACTTATCTCACGTAGTGCAAGACAGCGCAGCAGAATGCTAGGAAACCAATGACTAGCCCAATCAATGTCGCATTACAGACCAAGCATACATCATCCACATCACGAGGTGTGAAGGGGCCTGGCGCTACACACAGGAAGAGTGTGCCAGGTCCAGATCATACACAGACGAAGAGGAGGGGATCAAACGAAGAGGAAGGGGGAGATGGGAATGTCGTTAACACCAAGTATTCGTTACAAGTCCCAAATAGCCCCTCGTCAAAATGTCTGAAGCCCAATGTCGAGTCTCGATCCAATGTCACCAAACTCTCTCTCTCTCTCTCTCTCTCTCTCTCTCTCTCTCTCTCTCTCTCTCTCTCCTGCTCTGCTGATGCAGGGAAGTCAGATAGCGAGAGGGTGAGAGAGAGATGGTGGACTGAGAAGAGGAAGAAGAAGAACTTTGTCTCTCTCACATGCCAGGTACTAACCTGTGAAGTTGGCGCTGTGCTGCAGGTACCTCGAAGACAAAGCTGGAGCTATGGCGCTCCAGGTAAGTATCCCTGGCCTCCGCCCAATCTCTCTCTCTCCAGTACTACTCTAGCTGCTACTAGCGCCCAGCGCTGAAGACTACTGCTAGCGCTACCACTACCTTTGCAGCGCTCCTCCAAAGTGCTGCTGTCGAATCCTGAAGACTACCTCCTGCCTCCTGAATGTGCCTGGAAAGCCCTATGAACTACCTGCAGCCTGCAGGGCGGGCCAGTCTTATATAGTGCTGGCCCGTCCAGGAGGCTGCTCTTGCCAATGCCAAAATGTGCCAGACCCTGGGGTTGAAGCTCAAACAAAAGTTGTCTTGAAAATAAGCCAAAAATGGCCTGAGCTAAAACCCTGGTCTGGTGCCTGAGTTTCAGGGCAGGTCGATCTTATGAGGGCCTGAAAATGGCCCTCAGTTTCAGGCTGAAAAGACTCAGGGCCAGAAAGGCCCTGATTTAGGCTGAAACGACACAGGGCCTGTAGGCCCTTGTTTTCAGGCTTTCAGGCTGAAACGACACAGGGCCTATAGGCCCTTGTTTTCAGGCTTTCGGGCTGAAAACGACACGGGCCTGAAAATGGCCCGTGCAGCCTGTTGCAGGCGCAGCATGTAACATTACTAAGGCAAGGAAGCAACTTTGATGCATGAAACACCGGATAAGTGTGCAAATGTGGAGAAATCTTAACAACATAGTAAGGAGTACTAAGGACCATCCACGTCACCAATCACATCAAGAATCTGCCACGGTCCTTTATAAGCAGGCAACAACTTCTGGGAAATGTTCTCTTCAGGGAGAAATTCCTTTGACTTCACCCAGACCAAGTCTCCTACAGCAAATTGTGAAGGCCTGTGGTGCTAATTAGCCTGTTCTATCATCTGATGTTGTGCCTTACCAATGTTCTCTTTAACCTTTTCTAGGTCTTTCTGATACTGAATAGCAAATTCCCTAGTCCCTGGTCGAAGTCTTTGCACTTGATCAGGGTTCAGACAGTCAATGGGTCTCCGAGGGAGCCATCCAAGATGCAGTTCAGTAGGTATTCTAGATGTAGCTAGATGCACAAAGTTATTATCGACACTTGCAACCTTCGGCAGATGTTCATCCCAGTCAACCTGATCTGCCCGGTTGTGCATGCGCAGCACTTGCTGCAGCAGTTTGTTCATCTGCTCGGTCTGTCCATTTGTCTCAGGGTGTCTACCTGAAGACATAGTCAGTTTCGACCTATATACCTTCATCAGTTGCTGCCACTGCTCACCTGTGAACCATGTATCTTTGTCACTCACAATAGTTGTCCAAAATCCTTCACCCAATGCTTAAAGAATTCCTTAATCACTAAATCAGTTCTTCCTTCTGCAAGGAGTGGAACAAAAACAGCAAACTTGCTGAATCTGTCTACCACCACCATCACCTGACTATTGCCATTCCTGCTGCTTACCTTAGTGTCCATGAAATCTATAGCACGGAGTCCCCGGGTCCCAACGGAATAGGCAGTGGTCTGAGTAATCCAAGGGGAGGTTGTGTGAAACTCTTGTTCCGCTGACATACCTGTCAGCCTTGCACGTAGGAAATGCAGTCATGCTTCGTTCCGGGCCACGTGTAGGAGCACAGTAGTTTAGCATAAGTCTTCCTCAAGCCGAAGTGCCCCTCAATGTCGTGGTTTTCCCCAAGTATGATGTTGCGAACTTCTTCGCTGTTCAGGATGCATAGTTGATCATGGACATTTGTTTTCTCAAATAACAATCCCTGCGTCATCCTATAGTCCGGGACTTCGTGCGGTGCCGTCTGCACCTTGCCAATCAACTGGCCAAAGACTGGATCACTCGCATAGGCAAAGACTGGATCACTCGCATAGGCAAAGACTGGATCACTCGCATACGCAAACTTAATTTTCTCTTGCAATTCGCTGCTTGCATCTAGATATGTGACAATAGCACCGAAAAAGTCACCTCTTCTACTTTGAGCTCCAACGACAACGTTATATTTCCCTTTGACTGGCTTCAATTCAAAGTCAAATTGATCAATTTCCCCAACCCACCTAGTTAGTTTTGGCGTCATCCGAGCCTCGGTTTTTAGCTAGCGGCTGTTTCGTGATCATAATAGACTTTAAAGTGGTGACCTAGCAAATGGTGCTGCCAATGATTCAAAGCTTCCCGCAAAGCAAACAACTCTCTCTCATAGTTGGAAGCGGCGACCTTTTCGCTAGGCAGTCTACATGACATAAATTCAACAGGTCTGTACCCATTCCCATCGTCTTGCTGGAGTACAGCACCGATCCCATATTGACTAGCGTCAGTGGTTACAATAAAAGGCAAAGATGGGTCTGCGACTTTCAACACCGAATAGTTAATCATACACTTCTTCAGACACGCAGTACAATCATGACCCCATTTCCAAACAGTCTCTTTGTTTAGTAGTCTACGTAATGGAGCAGCGATTACCATGAAATTTTGAACGAACTTGCGGAATTGTTCGCCAGACCTAGGAACGAATGCAGTTCCGTCAATGTACGCGGGTTAGAACGGTCTCTAATGACTGCAATTTTGGCATCTTCCATGATCCCATCGCCATCTACCATATGTCCCAAGTACAAAACCTGACGCTTCGCCCATTCTCACTTCTTCGGGTTAATCTTGAATTTCGCCTCACGCAACTTATTTAGCACAATTCGAAGGTGCTCTTCATGCTCACTCAAATTCTTACTAAAAATCAGTATATCATCTAAATAAACAACAACAAACTTTTCAAGCCACTCACAAAATAGCTCATTCATACATCTCTGGAAGGTTGCAGAAGCATTCATTAGTCCAAATGACATTACCACAAACTCATAGTGACCGTACCGGATCCGAAAAGCCGTTTTGTGCTGATCCTCGGGCAATACCTCAATCTGATGGTAGCCTGATTTCAAATCTATTTTTGAAAAATATCTGCAATCTTGCACTCTGTCTAAGACATTGTCTATCCTTGGCAATGACTCGGAGTTCTTTACTGTTATTGCGTTGAGTCCCCTATAGTCTATGCACATACGCAATTCGCCACCCTTTTTTGGCACAAACAGAACCGGTGCACCAAGCGGTGAGGAGCTTGGCTTAATCCACCCCTTCTCGATCAACTCATCCAATTGGTTCCGCAGTTCGTCGAGCTCTTTTGGAGACATCCTATAGATGAGGCCCTTGGGAATCCGGCTACCGGGAAGGGCCTCTCCCACATCTGAGAACTCAACACAACTTCTGCACATTGGGGGGCATCGACTCTCCCTTTTTCTTTTCTGCACT